GCTACCATTGTTGAAAGCAAGAAAATCAGATAAAGAACACACAATACAGTCATAAGGAGAAATTGAATAGTTTTAGCCAGGAGGTGAGTTCGCCAAAGGCCATGTGCCCGGGCCCTCAGGAGTTTTACGTCCTGGTCCACAAGGGCCATGACTTGCAGATCCGGATTGGGCCCCTGGTCCAGAGTCTTGTCTGTCTTCTCAAGGGGCCACAGCGTCTCCGGGTCTGCATATGTTGCCGACATCAAAGATCAGCTGACTGTGGACGGATTTACTTCTGAGTTCTCAATTATGTTCTATTGATCTCTGTATCTTTCATTGTACCAATACCAGGCAGTTTTGACCACTGTGACAGTATAGTAAATTTTGAGATCAGGAAGTGAGACGCTTCCAACTTTATTCTTCATAAACAATGATTTGCTTATTCAAGGTCTCTTTCCTTTCCATATAAGGTTGAGGACTAGTTTTGCCATCTCTTTAAAGAATGATGTTGGAATCTTAATTGGGATTGCATTGTAGCTATAGATTTCTTTGGACATAGTGTTGACGTTTTCATAATGTTAAGTCTTCTTATACATTCTTCCATTTTTGTAAGTCTTTTTGGGTTTCTTGTAATAGTGTTTTAAAGTTTTCTATTTTTAAATCTTTTTTTAGATTTAGTCCTAAATATTTCATCTTTTGATGACTATTGTAAATGGTATTGTTTTCCTGAACTTTTCAGAGTTCTCTTTATTAGTGTAAAAATCTCTAACTGATTTTTGTGTATTCATCTTGTACCCTGCCACTTGGCTGAATCTTTAATGAGTTCCAATAATACTTTGGTTAAGTCTTTAGACGTTTCTTTGTATAGGATCATATCATCGGCAAAAAGAGAGGTTTACTTCTTTGCCATTTTTGATATCTTTAATTTCCCTTTCTTACCTTTTTTCTGGCTAAGACTTCCGGTACAATACTGAGTAGGAGTGGTGATATAAGGCGTCCTTTTCTGGGTCTTGTTTACAGAGGGAACGCTTTTAATTTTAATTTCCATTGAGACAGATGTTGGCAGTTGGATTTGTTTATATGCCCTTGATTATGTTGAGGAATTTCCCTTCTATTCCTATTTTGTTGAATATTTTTATCAAGAATGAATGTAGTTACTACTTGGAAACCCAGTGGGGCAGTTCTACTTAGTGTATGTTGTTGCTGGTAGGTACCATGGAGTCAGTTCTGACTCATAGTGACCCTGCACAGGGTTTCCGAGGCTGTAAATCTTTACGGAAGAAGAACGCTGGTAGTTTTGAACTGCTGATCTTGATGCTGGCAGCCCGACTCGTAACCACTATGCTACCAGAGCTCCTTAGTGTATAGGGGGTCACTCTACGTGAGAACTGACTGGACTACAATAGTTTGTTCTTTGGATGTTTTTCAAAATCTAAGTTTTCATTGCCAATGGCTATTTGAACATTGTCAATAATTCATCCTGGTAAAATAAAGCTTTATCTTTAGAACACACACATGTACACACAAAGGAATGAATGTAGGACTTTGTCAAATGCCCTTTCTACAGAAATCAATATGATTCCATGGTTCTTTTGTTTCATTTACATAGTGAATTAAATTGATAGTTTTCCTAATATTGAACCATCCTTGCATATGTGACATGAATCCCAGTAGTTTATAATGTGTTATTTTTTGATAAATTGCTGAATTGTATTAGCCAGGGTTTTGTTAAGTATTTTTGCTTCTATGTTCATAAGGAATATTACTCTATAATTTTCTTTTTCAGTGATGTTTTTCCTGTTTTGGGTTTGAGATTTAGGCTTATTTCTTAAAATATATTCAGAAGTTTTCCACCATCTTCTGTGTTCTGGAATAGTTTGAGTAGAATTTATATCAGCTCCTTTTTAAATGTGTTATAGAACTTTTTGTAAAGTCATCAGGGCTTAGACTTTTTGTTGTTAGAATTTTTCAATGACTAGATCAGTTTCTTCTTTTGTTATAGGTCTGTTCAAGCTTTTTCCTTCTGTCTGTGTTAGTTTAGGTAGGTTTTGTTTTTCAAAAATGTGTCCATTTAGTTTACTAAACACCTTGAAAGTCATAGTTGATCCAGGAGGTATACAATGATTATATTTTCTTTTTCTTATTATATCATTTTTTGTTTGTTTTCCTTGCAGTTTATAAGTTTCAATTCTCTGACTTTTGCTAAACCTGTCACAGATCATTCTCAAACTCTTTGAACTTAAAGCCTCTTCTCAGGATTTAGGAACACATCATTTAATTGCTCAGTTTCACCACTGTTTTGCCCCTCAAGTTTGAGGGTGGGTAATAGCTTCCCACTGTTAATATACTTTGGGTGCCTCATGCCCTTTCAAACAACATTGTTTGAAAAGACCCATCATTAAAATTTCCTTAGGATAAGCATTGGAGTGGTAACCATTAGGTTGGCAATTCATAATCACTAAGGGTGGTTATAAGAACCGATTTGACAGCACACAACCACAACAAACCACCTCCATTTGAATGTATTTCCTATGTTCCTGTCTAATAACATCTATTTTTACCTTTTAACTTATGCTATTCTCAGTTTTATTTTAATAACTGATGGGATACATTGAAAGAGAAAAATTAGAAGGGATGCATTCAGACATGTTTACTTTCCAGGCTCAGTTCAACAGGGTCATTATTAGTGGTAATTGACACAGCAGAAGCTTTTATTGTTTTTATTTTTCCTTCTAGTATTTTAAAGAGATTGTCTAAAAGAATTGAAGCTTCCACCAAAGCTTAAACATGAATAATAGATAACCAAGCAAATACTTTAAATGTTGTATAATTCTTGTTGAATCTTTCCAATTTAGAGAAAGAAACAGAATGATTCATCAGTAATCATTTATTCCCATATATGAATCCAAAAGAGTCTATAAATCAGTTATTTAACTCAAGTTCAAGTTTTGATATGCATATAATAAAAAAATTCTGCAGTGCATACATTTCAGGGTTGGGGGTGTGGAAGAAGTTCACAGTGCTCCATTTAGAAGGTGGTCTTTCTAGGACACTATGCAATAATAGTCACTTAGTTTTTTCGCTATTTCTATTTTAATTTTAAATCCTTTTACTCTTTTTCCTGAAATTTTCCCGTACCCCAAGCCTCTTGAATACGTGAATCATTTACTTTGATTTTTATTTAAAGTAGGTTTGGTGCAATTGGGTGAAAGGCATGCTGGGTCAAGGGAATAAGTTCAGATACCGCATCTGAAAACAAAATGTGTCTTTCAATTTAGGAGCTGAAAAACTTTGTTAATGTTAAATTAAGTTGTAGCAGGCACATATATCAATAGCATATTCTAATTCCTTCTAAATTTTTCTTTTTTTTCTCTACAGAACCATGGTATCATGGACACTACAGGACCTCAAGAAATAACTTGCTTGCTGAGTCTTGAGAGATAAAAAGTTTGATCTCCTGTTGAAGTATCAACTAGGACCATATAATGAAAAATACCATTGTGTAAAGAGGACAAATTGTCACTAAGACTTTCAGATGAGTAACAATATTTTAAATATATAATTCTGATCTGAAGAGTGCATCATGATATTACTGCAACACATGGAGAATAACCTTCCACCTAATTGCAAGCAAGAGTTCAAAACAGCATACTCACATATGAAGTAGGGAAAAGTAGCTTTCTAAGATTTTTCTGGAGAAATGTGCAAAAATAAATGGCTAGAGATTTCTTATAATTTTAGAAAGTCTTTCACTTAAAAAAAATAATAATTCTGGAAGTTCAGGAATCTGTTAAGAGTCCCTTCAAAACAAAACAAAAAAAGAAACGTCCAGATTTCCCCAAGAAGGCCTGGACTACTTACTTCTGCTACTTCAAGGAGAAGTATTACCCAGTACTCTCAAACTTACCCTGTATTGAGCAATCAGGAATTGACCAAGATTTTATCCAATGAATATAAAGAGCTTCCAGAGCAAATGAAATGTAAATATATTCAAGATTTTCAGAAAGAAAGGTAAGCATTTTAAGAAAAACAACTAAATTCAATAAAGACCACCCTGGTCTAATTCAGAATTCTAAGAATTCTGACGTCCCCAAGAGGTGTCAAACTCAAACCCAAGAGTTTTCAGAGAAATATGAAAGAAATGGGGCCCTCTCAGGAAACTACTGACTTCTCCAAGGATATGAAATTTCACGGAGAGCCCAAGAAGTCCCTCTTAGTGGATACCACAAGTCCTAACAGTATTTGTGGTTGAACAGGGAGCTACACCATGTGCCTGAAAGATAGCATGTGGTAGAGATTGATAGTTGCTGAGAGCACATCCCACAGAGTCTGATGGGCCATTATAAGAATCTTGCTGAGGAGATGTAGAAACAGTACGTGGTGAACCTGGCTCTTTGACTCAAGAGCCTGTCTCTTGAGTAATATGCAGCATACAGAGAAACTGAATCATGTGTAAGAACAAGAGCATGATGAGAGGGACAAATCCCAAGTTCAGATGGATGTCTCTGAAGTCTTTATCAATGTGGAGCCTTCAAGTGGTAGGAGAGGAATAGGAGGTACACATTCCAGGAACAGGTTTACCAGAGACTGTTCAGGTCAATCATGATCTTTCATAGACATCAGCAGGAAATAAGAAACAAGATGGGAAAAAGAAGTAAGGAAGTGACTCCTTAGATTCCTGTAGTGAGGATGAGGATACAGATAAGGGGTCTAAAGACAATAACTCCATATCATCTTCCTCAGGAGATTCTGATTCCAACTGATCTGGACCCTAAAGAAAGAGAGTATCTATGTCAAAGGGATTAAAACCTTGGTTAAGTTCCTGGTTGCTCAGTTTATGGTGTATTTGGAAATACTGGGGACATTTCTCATTGGAGAAGCAGAAATAAGTACTCAAGGACTTCTTGGGGAAGTCTGTGAAAGGGAGGTGCCCTCCTCTCTGCTCTTGCAAGGGTCCCTTTTTATTTATTTCCTATACCTTCCTTTCTTTCCCCTTATCCAACTAAATACAAAGTAGGAGAGGGTGCTAGGAAAAGCATTTGAAGTTGGGGAGCATGGAATGTCCTCAGTAAACAACTGAGACAGAGACAGTGTCGCACATCCTACATCCTAGTACCACCCAGCTTCCATGTAATTAAGGCTCCTGCAATAAACAATTAGATGATGGATAGTGGTGGTTACTCTAGGTTAGAATGAGTATTCCTGAAATGAGAAGTTTTGTTCTCATCTTCTGCTCATTAGCATTAGAAATAAGACACTCATAAATCGCTGCCCTCCACCTTTTTTATATATAGAATTATCTGTATTTCTGCACAGGGATTGAGTTGAATATTTGATAAGGGGTAGGATAGGTGTCTTTAAGAATTTGTCCCAACTCCTAGGAACTTATTCACCCACTTCTAAAGGGAAGGTGCTGGTCGTTTCTAATTGTGCCTTTTGGCAGAATCAATTGGCTGTTGTTAGGTGCCATCAACTTGTTTCCAACTCATAGCAACCCTATGCACAACAGAACAAACAATGCCCAGTGCTGCACAATCCTCTTTTGAGAGCTGCACAATTGTTCTTTTGAGCCCATTGTTGCAGTCACTTTGTCAATCCATGCCATTGACAATCTCCCTTGGTGTCCTCATTCAATGACAGGTCCCTCCTGATAACATATTCAAAGTATATGAGATGAAGTCTTGCCTACCACTTCTTGCACATGTTTAATGTTTATCTGTGGCCCTAATAATTAATTATGTATTTTGGTAATTTTTTATGTTTTCTGATTGCCTCCAAGAAGATGTGATCAGGATGTGGTCTTCCCTTTTCACTCTTCTTATTGCTTAACTCAGAGTAACTTTTACAGGTGTTGCCTGTTTCCCTGGTTTATGGCAGCTGGTATTGGTTCTTGTCTGGGTTTTGGTGTTTTATAAAGTGTTATTGCAGCTTGGCTATTTGGCAGCAGTTGCTGACTCTTTTCGTGTAATGTAGGGGGACAAAGAGTCCTCCAATAGCAGAAGGGAGGCTTTTAACAGCCAAACAACAGCAGTTGGGTAGAAAACAAAACCAAAATCAACATAAAAAACAAAAGCAATAATGAGAGAAAAACAAAGCAAAACAACAACAAAAAAAAACAAAACAAAAAAAGAACGATGGGGAAAAAGAAAAAAGGGGGGAGGGGCAGAAGAAAGAGAAAAAAGCGTAACTTAGTTAAGTAAGTCTTTAATGTTCTAACTCTCTTTCAGTCCCTTCTGAGCTCTTCTCCTTGTTGATATGCTGTGGAGTAGATCGTGACCCACAGCGACCCAGTATAGGGTTTCCAAGGAGCAGCTGGTGGGCTCGAACCACAGTCCTTACAGTTCAAAAGGCTTTGCAGTCAGCCACAGCAGGACTGCTTTGTTATTGGTGGTAAACAACTGTTCAAGGGTGTCTCAGCTTGGGCTGGCCTGTGCTCTTGAATAAGGCATGCTCTAATCGTAATGGTTATGAATCGAGCTGCAAACCGCAAGGCCAGCAGTTCGAAACTACCAGCTGCTCTGCAGGAGAAAGATGAGGCTTTCTGCTCCCGTAAAGATTTACAGCCTTGGAAACCCTGTTCAGGGTTGCTATGGGTCGGAACTGACTTGATGGCACTTAACAACAACAATCACAAAAGAAAAGAAACAAGGGGGGAGGGGCAGAAGAAAGAGAGGAAAAAAGTGTAGCTTAATATAAGCAACTCTTTGGTGTCCTAACTCTCTTTCAGCCCCTTCTGAGTTCTTCTCCTTGTTGATATGCTGTGGAGTTGATCATGACCCACAGCGACCCAGTATAGAGTTTCCAAGGTGCAGCTGGTGAGCTCAAATCACATTCCTTGCAGTTCAAAAGGCTTTGCAGTCTGGCGCATTAACACACAGAGATACAGCAGGACTGCTTTGTTATTGGTGGTAAACAACTAGTCAAGGGCGTCTCAGCTTGGGCTGGCCTGCGCCTTGATGGGCGGGCCTGAGGTGCGGAGGCTGGGCAGAGGGCTAGCCTAGGCGGAAGGAGTGGGGGACGGGGGTAGTGGCTGCAGGCAGATGGTGTGGCTGTGTCTGATGACGTCTAAAATGCCTCTTTCTGTTTACCTGTGCTGTGAGCACCCCAATTTGCCCTATATCCACGCCAACAATGCCCAACGTGGCAATGAGGCCCCCCCTGGGATGGACCACACTAGTTCCTGTGGCCCTGCTAGCTCTCCGAGAGCGTCTGCCCTCTGAAAGGATCCGCTCAAGCCCTGTGCCCCAAGCTCTACAATGGGTGGGGCAGTCCCCGGGGTGGGAGCTGAGTGCAGGAGGGTGGAAGCTCAGAATGCTTGTAACTCCTCAGCAGTTTGATTTTTTTAAAAAGCAAACTCATAATGTTAAAGCCTAATGTTTTATGTTTGCCCAAAGGCTGTCTGTCTACCAGGCGGGGGCCTCCCCTGTGCGATACCACCCCTGTTTTCTCTGGAGCCTGCGTACCTGTGCTGCCCGGTCAGGGAAGCACCGGAAATCTCCTTGCCTACCACTTCTTGCAGATGTAGTAATGCCATACATGTTTCCAGAGTATTCTGTCTATATTTCTTCCACAACAGATTTTTTCAGTCTTCTGGCAGTTCATGGTGTATTCAACATTCTTCACCGACACCCCTTAATTAAAATGCACAGATTATTTTCCTGTCTTCCTTATTCATTGTCCAGCTTTCGCAAGCATATGAGACAATTGAAAATAACATGGCGTGGGTGAGGTGCACTTTAGTGCTCAACGTGACATTTTGCTCTTTAACAGTTTAAAGAGATCTTTGATAGAAAATTTGCACAATGCTGTATTTGATTGCTTGACTGTTATTTCCTTTGAATGTGGATCCAAGTAAAATGAATTCTTTGAAAAGTTTAATCTTTTCTCTGTTTACCATGATGCTGTTTATTGGTCCAGTTGTAAGCATTTTTGTTTCCTTTACGTTGAGATATAAATCATACTGATCTTCATCAGTAAGTGCTTCAAGTCCTCTTTGCCAGCAAAGTTGCATCATCTGCATATCAAAGGTTGTTACTGAGACTTCCTCCATTTCTGATGCCACATTCCTCTTCATACAGTCCAGCTTCTCAGATCATTTGCTCAGTGTTCAGATTGAATACACATGGTGAAAGGATATAACCCTGATGCATGCCTTTCTTGATTTTCTAAACCATCTAGTTGTTCTATTCAAACAAATGCCTCTTCATCTATGTACAGGACTCATGATCACAGTTAAGTGTTCTGGAATTCCCATTCTTTGCAATGTTATCCATAGTTTATTATGATCCACCCAGTTGAACACCTTTGCATAGTCAATAAAGTACAAGTAAACATCTTTCTGATATCTTCCTGCTTTCCGCCAAGATCCATCTGACATCGTCAGTAACATTACTTGTTTCACATCCTCTTTCAATCCAGTTTGAATTTCTAGCAGCTTCCTGTTTATGTACTGCTGCAACCAGTTTTTAAATTGTCTTCAGTAAAATTTTACTTTCTTATGATATTAACGATATTGATAATTTCCACATTCTGTGAGTGACCCTTCGTTGTAATGGGCACAAATGTGGCTCTCTTTTAATTGGTTTTTCCATGTAGCAGTCTTCCAAACTTCTGGCAAAGACTAATGAGTGCCTCCAGCACTGCATCATTTTACTGAAACATTACAATTGGTATTTCATCAATTGGAACCTTGTTTTTCACCAATGTCTTCAGTGCAGTTTGGGCATCTTCCTTTGATACCATTAGTTTTTGATCTTATGGCAACTCGTTAAATGGTTGAAATTGACCAATTCTTTTTGGAACAGTGACTCTTCCATCTTTTTTGATGCTTCCTAAGTCATTCAATAGTTTGCCCACAAAATCCTTCAATGTTTTAACTTAGGACATGAATTTCTTCTTCAGTTTCTTTCAGCTGAGACATGCTAATAGTATCCTTCCTTTTTGGTTTTCAAACTCTTTGCACATTTCACTCTAACACTTTGTCTTCTCAAGCTTCCCTTTGAAATTCTCTGTTCGGTTCTTTTAGTTTATCATTTTTTATAGTTGTTTTGGTTTCTAAATCCAAGAACAAGTTTCAGACTTTCTTCTGACACCCATTTTGCTCTTTTCTCTCCTGATTTTTAATTGTATTTTGCTTTCTTCATGTATAATGTTCTTGATGTCATTCCACAACTCATCTGCTCTTTGGTTGTCAGTGTCCAATTATTCAAATCTATGCTTGAGATGGTCTCTATATTCAGATAGGATTTAGTCAAGATTGTTTTAATTTTCTTCAGCTTCAACACAAAGTTGCATATGAACAATTGATGATCTGTTCCATGGTTGACTTCTGGCATTGTTTGGGCTGATTATATTGAGCTTAACCATCATATTTTTTCACAGATGCAGTCAATTTGATACCTGTATATTCCGTCTGGAGATGGAACAGTCAACATCTATGTTGTTGTTGTTGTTGTTGTTTTAAAAAGGTACTTGCAAGGAATAAGTCATTGGTCTTGTAAAATTCAATTATGCAATCTCCAGCATCAAGAAAAAAGAACCACAAACAGAAAAAGAAGTCCTTGAGCAATGAAGCAGAGACAGCAGCAGTATAGGTGACAGCAGAGGCAGTAGTACAGAAAGAGCAGCTGACTTCAGGCAGGAAGCTGGCTTGTAGAATTGGGTGCCCTTTGGACATTTATCAGTAGACTGAAGGAGCTTGTAACACTTATCTGAACTGGGAAGAGGCCAAAGGGGTTACAAAACTGAAAAGCTGATGACCAGAGAAAGGCATGCCTGTAATATGATTAAGGAGCTCTCCTGTCCAGAGAACTGCTATATTGTAAGTGGTTTCTGATCCTTAATTGTACCCTGTTAACTTCCCTTGGTATGTGCCGTGGAGTCGGTTCTGACTCATAGTGACCCTGTACAGGGTTTCCGAGGCTGTAAATCTTTATGGGAACAGAAAGCCGTATCTTTCTCCTGTGGAACAGCTGGTAGTTTCGAACTGCTGACCTTGAGGTTCACAGCTCAATTCATAACCACTACACTACCAGAGCTTCCCTAATAAGTGCCAAATCATAATCTGTGAGTTCAGTATGGCCATTGCAATGGATTATGGAATTTAACATAGAAGTAGGGTGCTACGGAAGGGATAGTTGGTGTTAGAATAGGATCAAGAAGGTTGGAGGAAGGCAAAATGATGGACTAGGCAGACACAGCACACAGCACATGGACCCGCTACAACAAAGATACAAGAGACCACATGAAATAGGCACAGATGAAAATCCTAGAAACTTGAACATCACAGGAAAGATTAGAGAAGAATATTGAATGATTTGATTTCTGAGAGAAGTTAAGCAGGGATGGCAAGAGAGAGACATTTACTGGTAAAAGACTGGCCAGATGTAGTGTGAGCATCTTGAACTTTTGTGAGTAGATTTAGTGAAAGAAGTTTGGTATGGAAGAGCAGATTCACACAGGTTCAAGCTAATGGCAAACAAAAATGAGCAGAACTGACAAATTTAATCTCTGATAGAAATAGACTTTAAGGCAAAACCCAGCATAGAGACAAAGACAGACATTATATCATGATTAAGAAGTCAACTGAACAACAGAGCACACCATAATAAATATTTATGCCCCCAATGAAAGGGCTCAAAATACATACATCAAACTAATAGAAATGAAGAAAGAAATAGACAACTTTACAATAATATTGTTGTTGTTGTTGTTGTTGTGTGCCGTCGAGTCGGTTCCGACCCATAGTTAATACAACACTTTTGATGAAGGACAGAACCAGAAAGAAATGCAACAGAGATACACAAGTAAAATTAAAAACAAACAACTTGACCTCATACACATATACAGAGCACTCAACCAAATAAGAGTGCTACGTACATGCTTTTTGAGTGCACATAGAACGTTCTCCAGAATCAAAGACATGTTATGTCACAAAGCAAATCTCAATTAATTTTAAAACATTGAAATACTATAAAACATCTTTTCGGGTCACAATGCTATAAAATTAGAACTCAACAATAGGAGGATCAAAGAAAAAAGATCAGACACATGGGAATTGAACAGTATCCTGCTTAAAAGCTTCAGGGTACTGGTGATAGATACAATTTTAAAAATGAAATAAAAATTAAGTCAAACAAGAATGAAATACAACTTACCAAAACCTCCAAACTATTACCAATCATTTCTCTTTTAATCTAATGTTATTGATACATGGGTTCTTAGCTCATTTCCCAAATTCTCAACAAAGGTGTCTTTCAAATAATCATCTATGCTAAGACTGAGCCTCACAAAATCCAATTTACAACAAATATAGTTTAAATTATAAAACTCAGGGGGAAAATATATGTATATATACACCCAAGAACAAAACAAGGAATTAGACTTAATGAATCATATAGCAAGCTTATAAAGCAGATGACTAATCATACCATGCATTCCAAGTAATGGGTCACAAAAATAGTTTTAATTTAAATATTAAATCAACATTCTTTCATTTCAAGCTACATTTATACTTATATTCAAATAAAAAAACCTAAGACATAGTAAAGTGTGATTAACTTCATTTTTAGAAACGGTCCCTGAGATATGGAATTCCCAGGTTCCTGACTACTCCATCGAGTCAGTTCCAACCCATAGCAACCGTGTATAGGGTTTCCAAGGAGCTGGTGGGCTTAAACTGCCAACCTTGTGGTTCAAACCAACTTTTCAATCCAACGCATTAACCCACAGCTCTACACCAGGACTCCAATTACTCCTTAATTATTTGCAATCAGTGCAAAAGAAAGGCTTGAGTGAAAACTTGAAGGAGCCAAACAGGTAGTTCCATATGATGGAACTTTTGTAAACATTAATAAAACTCACACTTTTATTGTCAAAGTCAACAAAGACTCCAATGCACCTCAGAGGTTTCTCTACATACTGAAAAATCATTGATGAGGTGGTCAAGAGATTGTAATGATTACCCTCCTTCATGCATAAAAGAAAAAATGTGTCTCTAGACCTAGCCACTAAGCTATTCCTTCTTATATATGAATCCTTAGAGACTCCCACAGCCCAGTTACAAGAATTGTTCACATCTATCTCCCAGTAATGTTTTCCAGAAGTGAATTCCTGGGCTTCCCAAGCAGGAAAGCAGTTAGATCTACTAGAGTGAAAAGGCACATCTTGAAGATCAGATCTATGTCTCACGTCCTCAAACAGCATACAGTTCTTACTGCATGTTTCATACTCAAATAAAATATTCACTGTGGAAAGAAGAGAATATTCCCATCAAAACAATTTTTATATTCTTGGTGTGATACTGTAAATCAGCACTAGACTATGAACCACAAGGTCAGCAGTTCAAACCCACCAGATGCTTTCCAGTCACTATGAGGGCACTTAACATGGAATGAATGTTTAACTGGATGTAAATTGTCAGTGGAAAAACAGGCTACAATTACAAAGGAAGTTCTGGCTGAAAAATCAGATTAAAGGGTATCAATGGATGTAGAAAAGAAACAAATACCTCACAAGAAAATAGAATAAAAATCTCTAAAATATCATATAATATACATGGTAGGGAAGTCATGGCATCTTTTTGTTGCTTTTCATGGCATACTAAAAACCAGAAAACTAGGCACTTCAAAGTCCAAAGACATATAACTTACTTCTACTGCCCATCTAGGACAAAAAAAAAAAAGGTTGATCTAAACAAATGATGACTTTACCAGGTATATCATATTTGGAGTCCTGATATGGTGCTGCGGGTAAATGCACTGGACTGCAAAGTCGGTTTGAACCTCAAGCAAGGTCGGTGGTTCAAGCTCACCAGCCACTCCTTGGAAACCCTATACAGGGTCACTATGACACTTAACAACAACATGTTTTCTTAAAAGGGGTCTCCTGTTAAAATTTTTCTGGCTTTTCCGCTTGGTTCCATCTCAGTTGGTTCCCTGGCAGGCTCAACCCCTGGTTTAGGTCTACCATGGTGGTGGTGGTGGTTATGTGCCATGGAGTAGGTTCTGCCTCATAATGACCCTGTGCAGAGTTTCCGAGGCTGTAAATCTTTACTGTAGCAGAAAGCGTCATCTTTCTCCCATGGAACAGCTGGTAGTTTCCAATTGCTGACCTTGCGGTTCGCAGCCCAATTCATAACCCTACGTTACTGGACTCATCAACCCCCACCTTGATTTAGAGTTGCACAGAAGTGTGGTTTCTGCATTTCTCTGCAGAGCCCTTGATTCTGGTTTCTGTATGTTTATCCAATTTCTTTTTTCTGATCACATTATTATATATTATTGTACATTATTACATGAAAATGCACATTATTATACATTCGGTTATACTTAAAAACTTAAACATTCTGTCATAATGACTCATTAAACAATGATACAGTAGCTGAGGATGATTCTAGGTCTCAAGGAGCCCTTTTTCTGATGGTTTCCTTTTTCTCAATTTCTAAGTAATTTGTTACAGATCTGATTCACATTTATCATTTCCCCATCTTTCATTCAGATACTTTTCATATTATCATAGTACTCATATGACTATAAATACCTTTTTTTCAAACTGCTCTCTCCTAAATCAACCAATGATTATTAAAAAGGGAAATATTGCTCATAGAATACCATTACTGACATTCTCTGACTGAGGGCACACCCAATAGGCTGACATTCACCTTGAAATTGTTTGACTTTCTCTATCAGTCCAGGTATGGGTCTTGCATTGAGAGCTGGGTTCACAGGCTGGGGCATGTGCTGCTGCACGAACTCACTCCTGTAAGAGCAAAGATCTACTGAGCCCTGAAACATATACCTTTCTGTACCACAGGAAAGAAAAAAGGCTAATTTGTGATGAAGGGGGATTGAAAATACCCAACAAATCATATATAACATGTATATACAGAAAATAATATTTCTATAAAATGCGCTCTCACTTTGAAGGCCAAACTTACCTTGTCAATAAGTCTTCGAAACTCTGTAAAAAGAATTACAAAAAAATTTTAGAATTCTTCTTAATCAGTGATTCTAACCATCCAGTCCTTAGTTTGGGGCAAATTTAGAAGGATACCAACTAGCCACTGCTACACTTCTTGAAATTCATTTTAATTTTTCTAAGGACAATCCCAGTACAGTTGTACAGAATCAGAATTCTCAATGAATTCAGAAACCAATAGGTGAATGAATAAAACACAGCAATGTTGCAACCATTAGCTGACAGCAAAGAGGTCTTTCTCTTGTCTTGTCTACAAAAAACAATGTCTCAGAATAAAGGTAATTCAATTCTAAGATTGCTAAAGAGAAGGAGAAAGTAAATGTTGTTATTGTTGTTAGGTGCCATCAAGTCAATACTGACTCATAGTGACCCTATGCACAACAGAACAAAACACTACTAGGTCCTGGCCAACCTCACAATCATTGCTGCACCTGAGCCCATCACTGCTGTCACTGTGCCAATCCATGTCATTGGTGGTCTTCCTCTTTCTATCTGGTCCTCCACTTTAATACACAAGATATACTTCTCCAGTGACTGGTCCCACCTGACAATATGTCCAAAGTATGAGAGACAAACTCTGGCCACCCTGGCTTCCAAGGAGCACTCTGGCTGCATTTCTTTGTTCTTTGGCAGTCCATGGTACTTTTAATATTCTCTTCCAACACCATAACTCAAATGCATCAATTCTCCTCTGGTCTCCCTTATTCACTGTTCAACTTTCGCATGCATATGAGGTTATTGAAAATATTATAGTTTGGGTCAGGCAAACCTTCATCCTTAAATTGACATCTTTGCTCTTCAACAAATTAAAGTGCTCTTGTACAGTAGACTTGCCTAATGCAATACATTGCTTGATTTCTTGACTGTTGCTCCCATGAGTGTGGATGGTTGATCTAAGGTGTCTTTGACACCTTCAATCTTCTCTCCTTTTATATGGATGTTGTTTATTGGTGCAGTAGTGAGACACCTTCTCAATGTCTCTTATTGACAAATTGGAGTGAAAAATGAAATACTCATAAATAAGTTGTTCCTTTCTGGATTTGGGAGAAGCAAGGTGAAGAAAACATTTAGAAGTGGGGGTGGTAAGTGTGTGCCATAACAACCCTGGGATAGGGTTTCTAAGTGTTTTAAGGTTTCTAAGGGTTTTAAGGGAATAGAAAGTCTCATCATTCTCCTAAGGAGCAGCTGGTGGACTAGAACTGCTGACTTTTTGGTTAGCAGCCCAACACATAACCCACTACACCACCAGGACTTCCGTTTAGAAGGCTGTGTTTCCTGGGTAATTGACAGACATGAAGCTTTGTTCTTCTTGTCTAAAGTAGGAGTTAAAGTTTGGAAATAAACTCTACCATAGAAACAGAATCATGTCTTGGTATCAAACACATAATGGAAGTCCAATATGTGGGCTTTGGATACTATAAATGATTTCCAGGTACATTCTTACTTCTTACCTTAAGCAGCTCCACATCTGATTTATGGCACATAGTCATCAGGTCCTCATACATTTCTCTTAAGTCCTTTTTCTTTTGCTCCATTGCGGCTTCACTTTTTATGAGTTGTTTATAACTATTTTTGCCTTCACTTTCCAGTACTTTTAGATGCTGGCTTTCATCAAAGAGAATTGGAGGAAATGTCCGATGTACACAGGTGAACATGTATGAACTAACATCCACAAAGCACTGCAAAGACATGGATTTTATAGATGGACTATAGACCATCTTTATCCTCCTCCACTTAAATTTCATTGATTTCTCTTTGATTCACATCCTCTACCAATCCACTATAGAGTTCTGGTGTGGTGCTGTAGGATAAGCACTGGACTCCTAATTGCTGGATCAGTGATTCAAACCTCGCAACTGCTCCTGAAAACCCTCTCACTATGAGTCAGAACTGACTCTAAGGCACTTACCAACAACCAATCCATCACACACAACCCAAACCCATGTCCTTTCATTTATCATAAATCAGTCATCCCTGTCTCATTCCTTCCTTTGTGTTCCACTCATGAACCAAATCCACCTTTCTCTCAAAATATTTTCAATTTGTAAATTCCTGAAATATCTGAAGAGATGTTTCTCATAGCTATTATGCGTGTGTGTGTGTGTGTGTGTGTGTGTGTTGTCGAGTCAGTTCTGACCCATAGTAACACTGTATAGGGTTTCCAAGGAGCAGCTGGTGAGCTTGAACCACCAACCTAGCAATTCAAACAAACATAGTAGTCCAGTACATTAACCTACAGCACCACACCATGACTCTATCCTCTAAAATCTGAAAGGCCACATATAAGCCACTGAGATTATAGCCGACTATTAAATTAATGCCATCTAATGCTGAGGCATCTCCAACTCATTGAGAGACCAGGTGAGTCAGAGAACTGTACTGTTTAGGGCTGTCAATGGCCTCCCCCTTTTCCCTCCAGAACTAGATCACCAGACCTTTCACCATTTTCATATTTTGTCCTAGTAACCACATTTTCTTTTTCCTTTTGAGCTGCTGATATATTGGGAGTAATAATAATCTACCTAACATTGAAATGGTAGATTAGTGTTTTCCTATGGATAAACCACTCATGACACATTAGGATTCCAGATGAAGTTCTTAAGGGACAAACTTATAGCAAGTCTGCAACAAGTTGGTTCCGTGGAAAAAAGTCTCATACTTACTCTCCAGTCTTTGGTAATTTGGCTCTCTTTCTTTAGATTTATTTCATTTTCTTGAATCTTTTTCCATATTGATCTCATTTGCCTTAAGAGCTTCTCCTGGAAATAAAAAGTATGAATATAAGTACCATAGAAAACAAATATTACTGATTTTGTACCATAATTAATGGATGTTGTTAAGTGCTGTTGAGTCGGTTCTGACCCATAATGACCCTGTAAAGAGTTTCCAAGGAGTGGGTAGTGATTCAATCTTGTGATTCAAACTGATCTTGCAGTCCAGAGTCTTAACCCACAGTGCAACACCAGGACTCCTAGCTAATGGATAGCAGCATTATATTTTAGTAAGATTGTACTTTACGGAGATTGAAAAAAAAATGAAATGTTTTCCTGTGTACCCTCTGTAATTATGTTTTTGGGGGACTTTCTGGCTAGAGAACAACAAAATTTTATGTCATTGTTTGCCTAAAGAAACTAACAAATGAGGATTTTATTAAATATATAATTTTCAGATAAACAGCTTACTACAAAATTTGGGTCTACTGATGCTATTGTGGAATAGATTCAGGCTAATAGCTATCATAGCAAGACAGAGTACAACTGCACTTTAGGGTTTCCTAGGTGGTAACCTTCAGGGAAGAAGAAGAGATACAATAATTCTGAATTTTCAGTCGTTGAAAGCATTATGCATAGCAGTGGAATACTGTCAACACCAGAATACTGAATATTGATTGAAACATGATGAATAGAACCAGATTACTGTCAGATATACTACTGGAAGATGGGCCCCTCAGGTTGGAAGACACTCAAAATACGACTGGTGAAGAGTTGCCACCTCAAAGTAGAGTTGACCATGATGACATGAATGGAGCAAAGATTTCGGGACCTTCATTTGCTGATGAATCACAACTCAAATGAGAAGAAATAGCTATAAAAATCCATTAATAATTGGAACATTGAATGTATGAAGTATGAACCTGGGAAAATTTGAAGTTGTCAGAAATTAAATGGAACATAAACATCGATATCCTAAGCACTAATGAGATGAAATGGATTGATATTGGCCATTTTTAATCTGACAATTATGTGGTTTACTATAATGGAAATGTCAAATTGAAGAGGAATGGTATTGCGTTCATCATCAAAAAGAACATTTCAAGATCTATCTAAAAGTCCAATACTGTCTGACAGGATAATATCCATATACCTACAAGGAAGACCAGTTAATACCACTACTGTTCAAATTTAAGTACCAACCACTGAAGCCAGTATTGATGATATTGAAGATTTCTACCAACTTCTTCAGTTTGAAATTGATCAAACATGCTGTCAAGGTGTATTGATAATTACTTGTGATTGGAATGCAAAGGTTGGAAAAAGAGGAGACTTAGTAGTTGGAAAATATGGCCTTGGTGATAGAAATGATGCTGGAGATCTCATAATAAAATTTTGAAATACCAATGACTTCTTCATTGAAAATACCGTTTTTGAACAACAAAATAAAACTATATACATGGAACTCACCAGATGGAATACACAAAAATTAAATTGACTTCATCTGTGGGAACAGACAGTGGCAAATCTCCATATAAATAGCCAAAACAAAGCTAGGGGAAGATTGTTGGACAGAGCATCAATTACTTATATGCAAATTCAGGCTGAAGCTGAAAAAAATGAAAACAAGTCCACGAGAGCCAAAATATGACCTTGAGTATATCCCACCTGAATTTAGATATTGTCTGAAGAACAGATTTAACGCCTTAGGCACTAAAAACTGAAGACCAGAGTTGTAGAATGACATTGAGAACATCATACAGGAAGAAAGCAAAAAGGCAGTAAGAAGACAAGAAAGAAG